CAAATCTGTGCCTTCGCTGCTTCTCTGGCCTCACTCACACTAGACAAGAAATTTTTTTCCAGGTAGAGCAGGGCACACAGCCTTGCTTTGCTCTGCCTTGCTGTTGGTGAACCAGATCTTCATCGGTGGGTGCTGGGACAGATATTCAGCACAAAATGCTGAATATTCAACCCTTTCTTCACATCACAGGTGAGAGTGAACTCAAAATGGATCACTGCCCGATGGGTAAAACTCTAAAACATTCAGCAGAAAATAAAAAATGGGGATGAAGTCTTTGAACACTGGGTTAGATAAAGTCAAACACTGGGTTAGATAAACTTTTCTTAGAACAGAACACATGTGAACCATACATGGAAAAATTGGTAGATCGGACTTAAGAAAACTGGAAAGCTTCTCCCTTTCAAAAGGTAGTCTTTAAGAAAGATGAGAAAACGGGGACCTCCCTAGGGGCACAACAGGTTAAAGTGCAGCACTATGAAACCATCTGCAGCCACTGTGGTATGAGTTCAATTCCCGGCCAGGAGGGTGACCCACATGGCACGGCAGACCTCTCCTGACCCACCCGCTGCTCCCCTCAGCAGTGTATTTCAGTGGATCTGCCTGTTCTGCTCCCCGCTCTGTCTCTGGTGAATTCTCTCACACCCCATTCCCTTGCCCTATACCCCAGTTCTGTATTATAAATAAATAAATATTTTTAAAAAGACAAATGAAAAGACAAGAAGAAACCATCTGTAAAATATACATTGGATGAAAGACTTGTGTCTGGAATATAAATTCCTATAACTCCATAAGAGAACAAACATCCCAACTGAAGAATACTTGAGCAGATACTTCACCAAAGAGGAGATGTGAATGGCACATAGGCACTGGAATATCTCCTGTTCCCTGTTAGTCATTAGGGAAATGGAATTCAGAACCACAAGGAGATGGGACTATGCATCTACTAGAATGGCTACACTATTAATTAAATGACTAATTAATTAACAGACAATAGTAAGTGTTGGTGAGAATGTGTGGTCACTAGAGCTCTCAGACATTATTAATGGGAAAGCAAAATAGTGCAGTCATGTTGGAAAACAAGCCTGTGATTTCTTATCAAGTTGCCATCCCACTTTTAGGTATTTATCCAAGAGAAATAAAAGCATATGTACACACAAAGAGATGTACATGACTGTTTATGGCAGTTTTACTTGTAATAACCCCCATTTGGAAACAACCCAGATGTCCTTCAACTGATCCAGGAAAAAATAATATATGGAACATCCATGCAATGGAATATTACGCAGCAATTAAAAGTAACAAACTGGTATACCTACAACAGCATACACGAACCTCAAAAGTTCCCTGCTAAGTGAACAAAGGTAGACACAAAATATTGCAGACCCTATTATTTTAAATATCAGAAATCAGATCAGTCATTGCTAGGGTCTGTGGGGAAGGGAGAGACTTAGCACAAAGGGCACAGGGAACTTTGTGTGGTGATGGAAATTTGCTTTCTTGACTGTGATGGAACTTCAGCACAGAGGGAAGAATTTGTCAAGCCTCACCCACCTGTGCACTAGACAAGAGTACATTTTACTTCAGGGAAAGTGTACTTCAATGAATATGATTTTTAAATAACAGAAAATAGAACAACAAAAAGTAAATCTGAAATGACCTTTCCACACCATGCAGTTAAGATGACACCAAGATACTAAATGCCAACATGGTGCAGGCACTAGTCTAAGGAATTATCCCCCGGCCCATTTCAGTCTTAAACAACCTTTGAGGTCCTCAGATACACACGCCACTTTCCTGTCTCAGGCCCTTGCACATCCCATTCCCTTCATCTGCAATGTTGCACTAGAAAATCTGTTTCCTGTATGCTTAAGGCTTCTCCTGAAATGCCACCCCCTCAGAAGAGGCATTCTGGCTGAAAGAGTGTCCCAAACTTATCATTAGCTATTCCTTAGCTAGTGTTTTCTTCACAGAACTTAGTACTACCTGACACTGGAGTTTGGACATTTGTTTACACCTTCCATAGGGATGGTGTTCTTTCATTCACTCCTTCTTCCTTTCATTTACCCAATACCCACTGTGTGCCCACCTGGGCCATGGCTGGGCCTGGTCAGGGACGCAAAGGGCAGAAAGAAGCCACAAGTTCCAGGGAGAGTGAATGGACCTGCCCCCTTCCCTGCACCCCTTCCATGGCCCAGCAGGGGACTCTGCCTAGGGGCCCGTGTTTTAGGGTCACAAGATGGAAGGAGCGCTGGTCCAGGAGTCAAGATGCTTTTAGCCCCAGCCCCTCGTGTCTCCCCTGGAGGTCTGAGCCAGAAACCTCAGGATTGACAAATCAACAAGCCTGACTTCCCTCCTTGAAAAACTATTAGGTGCATATTTTTCAAATGTTGGTATCAGACTCCCCTAAGAGTTTGATTAAAATGCATGCCCCATCTCCAAAGACTGACTCAGTAGCTCGAGGTAGGGTGGGGAACCAACATTTTCCATGTGTGTGCAATCTCCATTCCAAATAAGGTCCAAGGCTCTGGGTAGCAACGTCCCCATCTCTCACCAGCGCATTCAAATTTGGGATAGCAGCAATTTTCTAAATATGTCTCAGTTGCAAAACTCTCCACCCAAATGCAATTTTACCCACAAAACCACATGGATATCACAGAGGTCAGAAAGCTCTGGGCAGAGGAAGGGAGCAGAATGACGGTGACTCCTCAAGGGCTTCTCCTCACACCCCTCCTCCCCCCACTTGGTGAGCCCAGGTCTCCTGGGGTTCCTTGAACACAGTTTGAACACCACCACTCTAGGATTTTCTCTGACTCAATCACTGCACAGATATTTGTGAACATTCACCATGTGCCGGCCACTATTCCAGGTACTGGTGTCCGACAAAGAACATGACAGCTGAGTCGCTGCTCTGACCGATGTCACACGGATGGTGGGCTTCCATGCTCACCACACACAAGGCACATGTCTAAGGACCTGTGTTAGCCCCACTTGACAGGTGAGAGAACCGAGGCCCAGGGAGATGAAATAACTTGCTCAAGTTCATACACTAGGGAGTGGCAAAGCCGGGACCCGGCCAACACACCCTTCAGCAATCCTGCCTACTCCTCAAATCCCAGGAGGGCGATGTGAGCCCACCCAGGAAATGCAGGCGCTGGGCCCAGTCCCCAAACCTGTCCTGTTAGCACCACTCAGGCCCTGTGGGGTTAAGACTCCGGGACAGGGCTCCAGGTGAAACCGGATCCCACATGACCAAGTTGACGCAAGTGGCCTTGTCTACCTGCAGGGACCTGAAAGGCGCCACTCTGGGGAGGAGAAGAATGTTCTCATTTCTTCTAGTCACCGCTCCACTGCTCGGCCAGCTGTCAGTGACAGCTGTGTCCACGGCTCTGCGGGTGCTCCGAGTGGACCGGGTGGCCCTGATATGACTGCAACCAGAACTCAGCACCAGAGCAGAGTGGGGCCGCAGCCAAGTGCTGCTGAGTAAGACCAGAGAGCACATGGACCAAGACAATCTTCCAACTGGAGGGTGTGGAGGTTGCTCAGAGGGCGGTGACACCCGGGACACTCATTCTGTCAACAGGGAAAGCAAGGTCCAGTGAGAGGAGTTGGCTCGCCTTGGCTCTCCCAGTCTTGGCTTTGTTCGCAGCTTCCTGACGTGGCCTCTGAAGTAGACGTGGGTGACCGCAGGCAGGGAGACCCAAGTCCCCATGCAGCCCCGCCCTTGACTGAGCATTGTGACCTGGAGTTCTGAGCAGGCCTCAGCTCCCCTCTCTCCAAGGAGACGGGAACATCCCTCAGAGGGTTCTCTCTCCACACCAGATGCCCAGCGGCTACTGAATCACGTTCCTCCCGCCACAGTCCTCTCCCATGTTTACCCAAAACCTACCATTTTGAGGAATGAGCAACCCTGAGACTAGCAGGTCCATTTGTTGGGACGTGGGTTTCCAGCTCCTGTTCCTGGATGCAGCTTCGGGGCCGCCCCACCCCTCCCTGATAAGTAGGATCTGCATCTTCACAAGATCCCCGCCCCACCGGGGAAGCACTGTTTCACATTTTTTGTTGAATTGGGAGTATTGCTTTTGACTATTTTGACCCCAGTTATCAGCAGTCAGCATCTGCGCCGCATTTTTCTCATGTGAGGCATGCGGAAATGTCTACAGGCACAATCTTCCCTAAGCGGCAGGGTCCCTGTGAGGAGTCCTCCTGGCCCTGATGTGGTGGGCAAGTACCCTCCTCAGCAGGTAAGTCCTGGAGCCACAGCTCAGAACCCTGGGCCGTGCTCTCTGGCTCCTTCCCTGGCCTCCCGGCTGCCAGGCTGCAACCAGGGGCCCTGCCTTGCAGAATCACCCATGTTGTCCCTGCTCTCCTGTGGGAGCCTCGTGACAACGCTCATTTCTCAATTTCGGAATCAAGACGGCATCTGTGAAAGCTGGCCCTGCGTCTCCCCACGCCCTCCCGCCCTTGAGGGTGAGCGTTTGAGACCCCGGAGAAGCGCCACTGCACAAGATCGGAGACGCCACACTGCTCACCGCTCACCTGAACGGATGAAGGCGAGGTCGGCAGGTCCCAGGGAGCAGGTGGCCAGAAGGCTGACCGACACCCACTGAGTACTTCCCTGCTCCCCATCTCTGGCCCTGCCATCCACACTGCCTCCCAGAACTGCCAAGACTCTGACCAGAAAGAGTAAGCAAGAAAGACAAAGGAGGGAAGGGAAATGTGCAGAATGACCCCGGGAACACTGACCCCGGCGAGCAACCCCAGGCTAGGCCTGCAAGCACCTTATCAGCAATCCCGCCTGCAGCCCTGTGCCTGCAAAACTCTTATCACCTGGACCCACTTTATGGATGAGGAAATTATGGGTCAGAGATGTGGCGACCTGCTGAAGGACACACAGCACAAAGGAGGAGGGCTGGATCCAGATCTGGTCTTTCTGACTGGCCTGCCTGGGGCGAGCCGCTCAGAAGGGATTTGCCTGAATCTGAGCCAACTCCATGGCTTACCTCCTGCAGTCTGCACAGCCACAGCCTTCGGGCGGATGGTAGGTGCTGGCGGGGTCACCGCAGGCACTGTCACCACTGAGGCAGGGAGCGTCAGGCGACTTGGTGCCTGACCAGTCTCTTGAGCCCTGGGGTTCCAGTTCTTTCCTCCTGCTGCCCGGTCTCCAGAGTGTCTAACGTGAAGCAACAGCCCCTCCCAGAGAGGTCAGGCCATACTGAAGGGAGAGGAAGCACGTCCCTTAGGAGCATAAGAGAGAAAGGTGAACACACGCCAAGATGGCCCCGCTGGGCACTCATGTGGGACGAGCGCTTCCTCTGTGGCGACATCCTGTGGGCCTGAAGTACAGGCAAATCCTTGTTTTAACAACAAACAGGGTTTGTTCAGAAAATAAACAACAGAGGAGGGCAGATTGGAGAGCATCTGTAGGGTGAGAGCCAGGAGCTGAGCCCTTCCTGAGTCCTGGCCCACCGCCCTCAGCCCTCCGTGACCTCTGCCGGACCACCCCTTCCGTTTCCCCTGGGGGAAGCAGCAGGGCACCTGCCACATGGACTGCTGGAGTTTGCTGACGATGCAGGCCTGATGCAGGCCTGGGCATTCTAGCTTCCCGACCTCCTCTAAATAGGGGTCTGATTACTAATGCTCTCGCTCCAAATGTGCTGGTCCCATTCAGTAGGTGTGTGACCTCAGGAAAGCACTTAACCTCTCTGTGCTTCGGGTATGGACCGTCAGAATGGACCCACAGAGTCTCTCCTCACACACTCTGAGAATGACATGAGAGCGCATTTGCAAAGTGCTAAAACAAAAGTTAAGTGTGTGGTACCTGGGGGTTCCTAGCATCCCCCTTATTCTAACGCTCTTTCCTGGGATCATGGGAGCCACAATCTGTCCATACTGTGTCTAAGATACTGGATTATCTGGGGCCAGCCTGTGAAATGCCAGAGTCCACAAATTCCCTCCCCCAGTGAAGAAGTGAGAAAGATGATGGTCAGCAGGCACTGGGTGACCAACTTGAGAACTCTGTTTTGGAGAAATGAAGTAGTATCTAAAGTCTCGGTCAGGGCCTCCTGGAAGCACAGGGGCTGATTCTCAGCTGTCTTCCAGCACTGAAGATGAGTCCACTTCCCCCAGGGAGTGACCACATGGTGCACAGACCTCTCCTGTCTCCCCGCTGCTCCCCTCAGCAGTGTATTTCAGGTGATCTGCCTGTTCTGCTCCCCATTTTGGCTCTAGTGAGTCTTCTCACCCCTCTCCCCACACCTCTGGACCACGCCCCAGTTCTTATATGCATAAATAAGTACAATAAATCTTTTTTAAAAAATGATGTTTAGGCCAGATAGCTGATTTTGCAAAATTGGCTCTTCTTCCCCCCCCCCCACCTCAACCCTTCTATAAAGTGGGGCAGGGGACAGATGTGACCTTGTCTGCTAAGCCCTGGGAGCAGGCTTCCCCTTCCAGACATCATAGGAAGCTTTGGCTTGTCACTGGGGTGAGGAATCCACTCAGAAGGCACTCGAACCCCAGCCCCTCTGCCTTCCTCTTCACACGGTGGCCATGCTCCCCTCTCAGGGAGATGTCCTCCTACCCCCTCAGCTTGTTCTTGCTGCCTTCTGGCTAAGGAGGCCTGGGATAAAATCAGTGACCAGGCCACACAGTACTCAGACTGGCTCTCCAGCTGGGGATGACCAAGACCGGTCACCAGATGAGGAAGGTGAAGCGGACACTCATGTCACTCACTTACCTAAAGGTCAAGGAACTGATTTTTCAAAATGCTTTGTCCTGTTTCAAGAAAAGTTTCTGGCACATTCCTCAGAAGCGCCTCTGGACACATTCCAGAGGCCGTGTGCGCACACCGGCCAGCAGCCAGGGAACTGGGGTCCGGGCAGAGGCCTGGGGCGCCTGGTCCCACAAGGTGACTGCGGCCCCGCCAGCCTCAGCCTTGCTGTCCCTGGCTGAAATACACGCAGTCTTCTCTTCTTCATAACTTTGTATTTTGGAATGATTTTAGATGTATAGAAAAGTTGCAAAGATAGTAGAGTTCTCATGCATCCTTCACTTTTTCCTCCCATGTCACCATTTTCCATTTCTGTGGTACATTTCAGGACTAAGAAACCAGCTTCGGGACATTGTTACTGATTAAACTTCGTACTTTATTTCATTTTGCCACTAATGTTATTAGTGCGTGACCTGGGTTTTTTCTAGCTAAAAGACTCTGCTTTTAAGACTAAGCGGAGGCAGTAAAGCTTCCTGATTAAGCGTGCTGAGTACATGAATTAGCGAAAGAATGCTGGGCTGTGTGACTTTGGGCAAATCACTCACCCTTCCTGAATTCCAGTCTCTTCACCTATCAAAAAGGGGCTGATTCTTTATAGGGGTGCGGTGAGGGAATCATGTGCTAATCCATGGGGAGCACTTAGGACATCTCTCAGTCTTCCAAAGAGCACTCCACGGAAATAGCTCAGCTGGAAGATCAGAGACTGAAACCAGACTCACCTGCATACTATATACTCCTGGTGAAAATCTCCAGTAAAACACTTGCTTCACAAACGACACATCAAGCTGCTGGTGTAGCGTGTCAGGCCCAAGGCAGAACACCCAAAAGGGGAGAAGGCACCGACCTAAAGTCATGCAGAAGCCCCAGCCCTCCAATCACATTACCTTGGTCACATTACCTGGGTCTCGGCATCCACCTCTGTTAAGTGGGAACAGACTGTCCAACTTATAGGGTTTCCAAGAAGAGAAAATGAGAAACACTCTGTAAAATTTGGCTGCAACGTATGATTTATCTCTTCTGGGAACCACCAAGTCATTGACTGCAGTTGGGGTTATTAAAGAGCTCACTGAAATCTGACATGGGTCATCCTAGGTCTAGCAAAGACATCATAGGGTAAAGAGATCTTGTTTCTTTTCTTTTAGGGGACACAGAGCTGCTTCACCAAAGATTTCCCCGACCAAAGTTATGTGGGAAGGGCAGACCCATAACCACCATAGTTACAGCGCCTTTCCGCGCCCCAGAGTGCAATCCGATGAGGGTCTGGGTCACATGACCTCTGCTGAGGTGTAAAGGGAGCCGCACTATTCCCTGGTCACCCCCAGGAAGGTCATTATAGGCCCTGTTTCTAGGGAATCACAGAATCATTTGATTTTCATAAGAGCGGCAGCAAGGGAAGAAATCAGCATCAATTTTTTTTCTAAATTTTTAAAAGATGTATGTATTTATTTATTCATGTAAGAACTGGGGTCCAGGCCAGAAGTGTAGAGGGAGGTGGTGAGAGAATTCACCAGAGACAGAGTGGGGAGCAGAACAGGTGGATCGACTGAAGTACACTGCTGAGGGGAGGAGCAGGGGGGTCAGGAGAGGTCTGTAGGGCCATGTGGGTCACCTCCCTGGCCGGGGATCGAACGCATGCTGCAGTGGCTGTGATAGCTTCATAGTGCTGCATGTTAACCCGTTGTGCCACCAGGGAAAGCCCAGTGTCACTCTTTTTAAGAAGAGCAAATGAGACCTTGAGTGGCAGGTCTGCTTGTTCAAGGTCATACAGCTGGGCTTCAGAAGTGGGCTGGAACTCCACAGGATTTCCCCTTCTGCGCTCTGACACAAAGCCCAGTAGGCTCCTAACTGCTGTAGACCATCCACCCACCTGTCCACCTACCCACCAAGTCATCTCTCTGTCCATCCACCCACTCACCTACCCACATGTTGGTAATAACTAGGTGGCATCTGAAAGTGACCCCCACACAGAGAGGCCAAGTTGAGAATGAATAAAAAAGCAGGCCATTCCATACTGGTAAGCAGTCTTGATAATCATAAGGAGATTCAATTGCCTGAATCCAGCCCCCAGGTCAGTACACTGCCATGTTTCGATTGCCTTCCCCAACACCATCCTCCCACCTATCCACCTACCCATTCGTGCATCCATCCATTCATCCACCCACACACCCATTCATCTATATTGACACTGAACTCCCTTGTGGAAGGTGCTGGGTGCTACTGGTTCAGAGACTGTCTCAGAGACTGTCTGTTCAGCTGGGACTGAGCCTCAGTCATGTGTTTCTTGAGGATCTGCTACAGGAGCAGCACACAGCAGGGACAGGGCAACTCTTTAGCCAACAATGGTTCTCACATCTTCAGTGATGCTCCCACATTTATGAGCAATGCTCCAGGGGTGTTTGAAGACACTGATCAGGCTCAAGACTCTATTTGTCTTGAATCACTTCGTCAAATCATCAATCCTAGCGAAAGATTTTAGATGGCCCTGTGTGGATGCAGCAAAAGCTGGGCAAGAAGGCCAAAGACCCAAGTTCCTGTCCCAGGAGCTGCTTTCTCAGGAGAAGCCACTGGAAGACACCGGAGCCTCGGTTTTCTAATCTATAAAATGGATAAAATAACAATCGCTTTGTCTGCTTCACTTGATTGTTATGCACATAAAAGGAGAAAGGAGGGAGAAGAAGGAGGCGGTGAAAAATAGGGAGGAGGGGTAGAGGGAGGAGAAGAGAGACTTCTAGAAAGCTGATAAGAATAAAAGGTATTGAGATATGACTTGATTCATCCAAATGTCCAAAAGGACATGCGGGAAAAGGAAAGCAAGTTTTCTAGTGCTCAGCACACTCCTCAGCCATCTGTAATGTAACTGGTTGCAACTGCTCCAGATATGTTTCAACCTTTGAAGAGATTAAATTTATGGATTTGTGGCATCACATGACACCCCAGCCAATCCTGACCCACATTTCTCTCCACTCAGTGCATGTAACAACAGTACAAAGAGGTGTTGTAACCTTAATTGCTTGCAATGTGTTTTGAAATCCTGAGATTAAAAAGCTCAGTGAAGTCCAAAGTATTAGTCTCCTATAATGCCCAAGGAGGTATGATGAGCCTCGTCTGGATTTCTGGGAGCAGGCATACATTACAGGTCGAGGCCCCAGGAACTTCGGGGTTTAAGGGACCTGTTTACAGGATAGCCCCAGCCCAAGCCCAAGCCCAACTTCCAAGGATCTGATCTACAGGGCATCTGCTCACATCCTACCTAGCTTCTGATGTGCTTCCCCCACCCCCCCCCCTCCTTTTCCCCTAAGTTCTGGAGTTACACATGCCCTAGTGTCAGAGGTTTGCTTTTGCTTGAGAGAGGCGATGGTGTAGCTGAGCTTTCTACACACCTTTTCATTTAATCTCAGAGTCCACGGCTTAGTCCTGATTTAATTTTTACCATTAAAAGTTAGCATTGGGGGCCCTCCCTGGTGGCGCAGCGGGTTAAAGCACTGCACTGAGAAGCTAAAGCCACTTCCGCATGAGTTCAAATCCCGCCTGCCCCGGAGGTGACCACATGGCGTGGCAGACCTCTCCTGACCCGCCAGCTGCTCCCCTCAGCAGTGTACTTCGTCGATCTGCCTGTTCTGCTCCCCGCTCTGTCTCTGGTGAAGCCTCTCACCTTCCGCATCTCTGGCCTGTACCCCAGTTCTGTATGAATAAATAAATCTTTAAAAAAAAAAAAAAGTTAGCATTGGGGGCCCTCCCTAGTGGCACAATGGGTTAGGACACAGCACTGAGAGCTGGCCACAGCCGCCTCAGTGCAAGTTCGATCCCCGGCCAGGGAGGTGACCCACACGGTGCGGCAGACCTCTCCTATTTTGCCCACTACTCCCCTCAGCAATGTACGTCAGTCTGCCTGTTCTGTCTCTGGCGAAGCCTCTCACCGCCCCTGCACCTCTGGCCTGTACCCCAGTTCTGTATGCATAGATAAATAAATCTTTAAAAAAAAAAAGTTTAGTGTTGGAACTCTGTCCCAGCCTTGGCAGGTGTGCCAGTGAGGACAGGAAGGGGCAGAGGGGACCGGGGATTTAGGCAGTATGACCTGCTGCTCGTTACGCCCGTGTGTTTAGTTTGTGAAACTCAGCGCTATAGACTTCCCTGTGCATTTTTTTCTAGGTATGTGCTGTACTTTAAAAGGTAAGGTTTTGTTTAAATCACTCTGAATGCTACTTACCTCATGGAGAAGATCTTGATGGAATAGTGAACTGGTCAGTCTAATGAAATGAAAATCCTTTCTCCGCCTTCGTGATTTAAAATAGTATCCTTTTTGTTTTTCCTTCCCTTATCTCCCTTTTTATACTCTCGAAAAAGGGAAATGCCTCAGTGAGTCATTTTAATTAAACTGAATGCAAGGTGGGGGGTGTTTCTCAGCAGAAAGCCCAAGATAGATGTGGACTTCAAAAATTAAAGCAAACTTCTGTTGCATACAGGTGTGTATTTTCCATAGCTTTCAGTCAATTCTCATGCTAAAAAAGACCAAAGTCAGAGGGATTGGTACAACTCACAGCTTATTCACACACATTCGTCTCCCGGGATCTCTGGGCCCACAGCCTTCATCAACCTAATACCCAATATCGTCTTTAGCCATCAAAACAAATTTGCCCACATCAGTGTTAAGAGCAACTAGATGCAGTCCCGTCCGAATAGATGCAGTCCTGCTTATTTCTCCCCTGGGAGCCGCCCAAATCCGTGGGGCCGGACACCTTTGTGTCCCTAGCTTACAAGTGCAAAAGGTTAAAGGTGGGCCGGATTTGAAAGAAATGTACCATGCCTATGTATGAAACCAGATTTATTAAAATTTCTCTACAAGTCAGAAACAGCGTCTCGCTGTTCACATATATACACACATGTACAAGGATCTAGTGTTTTTGAGCTTCCCGGCAGAAGCCCAGCCAGTCCGGAGTCCTCAGCCGGGTCAGCATGTATCACAGATACAGAGGAGCCACCACGAGAGCATGAGCTGGACAGAGGCCTCTGTCCTCCCTCTTCTCCAAGTCCCATGATTCCGTCAAGGTAATATTGCCAATAATCATTCACATTTCACGTGGTCTTAAACACGCAGGTTATGCAGACAAGACGCAGACAACAAAACAAGCTTCAGAGCCAAACAACAAAAAACACCGGACATCATGTATAAAAGGTCAAATATCTGTACAAAGTACACAGTACGTGAGGTATAAATGGCATTCTCACAATGCATGTTAGTAGTTAGTGAGCCTAGCCATAGCCCTTGAAAGATGACTGCTGTTTTTGTGCCATTTCTCAGAATACAGTATGTTTGGTTTACCCGTTTAACCACCTTAATGTCAGCACTGTCCGAGACAGCTACTGATAGATCATCTGTACTTGTTTAATGCAAGTAGCTGTTTCTCTGTTAAGGTCTAGCTTTCATAGGTAGTGAGTTTCCCATCTCAGGAAGCAATCAAGCAGAGGCTGGACTCCCACCTATGAAAGAAGCTGAAGGGAGTGAGGGTGGGGGATTTCTGCATCAGGAGGTGGCAGAAAGAGAAGTTGGATTGGATGACTTTAAAGTCCCTTCTGACTTTAAAAGACATGGGGTTTGCTATTTCACTCCAGATGCCGATTATATGAATATACTCATAAACCACACCACATTTGAAATATGAACAACCCATCATGCAAAACCGTGAACACAAACACAATGCCAGAGGCAGACAAGATCTATGAGAGGTTAGAGTATAATTCTGGAAGTTGATCTGGCAGCTACTAAGACTATTCAAAATTCACTTTCTCTGAAGCACAAAGGTGTTGAACATTTGCTCTTGGGAGAGGAGAGAGAGGGGCATCCTTGCCTGATCCTTCTCCTCCTAGACAAAATGCTCCACCCTGAGATGGTCTTGGGGAAAAACGTAAAGGATAAAAGATCACGTGTTTAAGGGGAACCAAAAAAGCTAACAGTTTCCAAGTCCTCAAATGATTTAAAAAAAAAAATCTGCAGTCTGTCTCAGCTCAGAGTTCTGAAATAGCCCAGAGTTCAAATCTTTTGTTGATACTTTTCCATGCACAGTTGGCTGGTAGGTGCTTTTCTAGCTAAAGGGGGGAGGTTTCAAGGTCAGAAGGAGGCAGAGAGCATGTGGTCTTGGCAGGCAGTGGAGGAGAAAGCCTGGGCTCCTGCTTCAGGCTCCCGAAACAGTGTTCCTAAAATGGAGCAGTCATCGGTAAATGTAGGTAGAAGGAAATGATGACTTAAACCAAACCCCAAAAGAACTTTCTGAGCAGAGAAGCTGGGGTAGCCAAGTTAGCTACCAAAGATGAGTTCCAAGATGGAGGCTTTATTGGCCCAAATGATCTGTCACCTGTTCGAATCAGGTGACTGCCCCAGTGCGGTGGGCTTCCTTCCTCTCCCTAAGAATATTCGAGTTCGTTTCACTTGACTACACGATGTAGGATAACTATACTCTGCTACCCATAAAAGATGCTGAACCCCCAAATCTGACAAAGGGATGGTGGCAAGGGTTCTGGAATGGGAAACAGCTTCCCAGGGCGGCCCGTCAGAGGGGACCTGCTCAGGTCCAGAGAGTCACTCATCAGACGAGGGACGCCGCGCGGAGCCCAGGGCAGCAACTGTCCACGCCATCACAGACCTGGCTGGCACACGCGAGACGCCTGTCCATCTTTAGAAATGGAAATGCCATGTGTGAGAATGATGAGGTTTCTGAGGTTCGGGATTAGCAGAAGAAGGAGCTGATGTCACTGTCCTCCTGGTATTCTGGAACGATCTGGTCTGAAGTCCCCATTTCTGAGTCGATGTACCCAGGCTCCAGGACAGACTCAAACCAGGGGTGGAGGAGGATCTCGGGAGCAGTGAGTCTCTCAGAGGGCTCCCGTCTCAGCAGGCTGCGGATAAGGCACCTGGCTTTGGGGGAAATGTGGTCAGGAATGCAGAACTGTCCACGTCGGATTTTGGAGAAAAGCGCACTGGGGTCTGAGTCATGAAAGGGATATCGCCCCACCAACAGAGTATACAGCATCACACCAAGGCTCCAGACATCCGCCGCCTTTCCGGAGTAGGTGCCGGTGGTGTTCAGGATCTCAGGGCTCACGTAGGCTGGGCAGCCATGTTTGTCTGACAGAGCATCATCTTCCCCCTTAATGATGTGTGTGTCTTCTAGACTTTCCAGCCGGAGCTGGGTTCTGCAGGAGAGAGGACACAAGGCATTACTTCCAGATCAGCTGCTGTGAAAAACAAGTCCTTCCCATCACAGTGCCCACAGGCCCTGAGAGCAAAGGCCCCAGGAATGCATTTAGCTCTTATCCAGTCAGCAGTGCAGCCTTCCAGGACTGAGGGTTTCACAAACCAATACAGACTGCAATAAATGTTTGCAAAGTATCGAGAGAACGTCTGGGGTGGAGGGTGTGATGCAAAGCCCCAAATACAATTCATTATGCTCGGGCTTATGAGAGATATCCTAATAGGGATTGCACAACTGACAAAGTTCACATTGCAGAAGTGCGAGCTGGTCTCCGGGGGAAGGCTGACATGTTCTATGAAGGTTGAGAGGAAAGAGCAGCAAACCGCCTTCCTCAGAGAGGACCTGAGGCATCTCATCCTGGCCGAGCCCCCAGGCCACCAGGCTCCGCACTCTTGCAGTACAGGTGCACCAAGGTCACTGGTACCACACACGGGGGGTCAGCCCTCCAGGTCACAGCCTCCCCTGCAGCCAGGAGGTGGCAAACATGATGGCAGAGGTGTAAGGAAAGTCAGCTATATTTATTGGGGTGTTTCACTGCAAAGGGCATTTGGCCTGAATGGAGGAGGTTGGCGAGCAAACAGAAGCAGCTGGTGGATGTGAAGGATGCCTAGGGCCCTCTGAAGCAGGAGGACGCACACACTCACACCCTGGGACGGCACATCAACGCCTGAGCCCCTTTAATCTCCGGGAGGGTTTATCTGTTCAAGTAGCGAAGTCTGAAATATCTTTAGTCAGAGGTTCATCTGTAGCCGCTGGTACCTCCTTACTCAGATGCAGCCAATCAAAGCCTCCGGCATCCCCCACGGCCCAGAGCCACGTGGGGGTCCCTCTCCTCTGAGGTGGGAGCTCATGCCCCTCCCTGCTTCTCTGAAATAGCCCTGTTTCAGTAAATCACTTGTGAAGTTAAACGCAAACGTTTGGTACTGGCTAATGGGCCAATTCCTTTTCCTCTCAAAGGTCTGGTGGCTGGTGATTTTTTTTTTTCTCCCTGCCTTCCTGTTCCCTGGAGTGTAGGATACATGTGCTAACTTTGCTATGTCCTCAGCTCGACCTCCCAGTCGTTATGTAAAATACCCATTGGTTCTGTAAACGGAAAATATGACTCAACCCACACGTTGCCCGTGATTGGCTGCTGTAGTACTAAAACCCTGCACCTGTGCTGGTTACCCGAATAGCGTCAGCCTGCCATTGCTTAACCCTCGGGTTGCCAAACTCCATGCACATGACATTTGCCTGTGCAATGCAGATTTCAAAAGCTAGTAAGGAGGTGTGTAAGGCATGTTTCAGAAAACACATCACCTTATCAAAGGAGCATGTTCCAGGAATTGGAAACTTCTTCATTGCAAACACTTTGCTTTTCTTTGCTAATCAGTGTGTTCCAATAATTATTGCAAGATCAGGTGCAGAGCTAGGCTTTGCGGCCACTCAGCACTGTTCTTGTTCACATGCTCAGGAGTTAGAAGCAAAGATGCACCGTTGGGGTAAGTACCCTGTGAACAGCTACAAGAAAACAGCACACACGCACCTCTACAATTCTACCACAGCCTTGGCTTTTTTGAGCTTTGCACTGGGAATAGACTCTCTCCTAAACTCGAGTAAGGTCTTTCTTTCCTGTGGTTTCCCATGTGCTCTGGCTTGAAAGCCCTCCTCTGAATCTTAATGTGCTTTTATTCGCTTATCAAGCTCATCTTCTCCTTGAGGAGGTAAGCCATAATCTATATTTAGCAAGCAATTCCAGCCACCTTGCATGTATTATTCAATGTGGCTATTTTCTGAAGCAGAGGCCAAACAAGGTGTCTAAAAAGTCACTGAAGAATGCAAAGAAAGTACCAGAGGCCAAGTCTGATTTGGAACAGGAATGTGGGGCAGAGGAGGGGGCAGGATTCTGCCATCACAACAGCTCTGGGATGCCTCTAGGTACCAGAGACAAAACAACAACAACAAACACCCCACTCTGTATAAGCAAGGATGTGAGACTCCCCCAGGAGTCAGGGTTAGTTAGCATTTGCTCCCCAGAATGGGTCTTTCTGACAACGATGGGAAGTGAACTCCATGCTGGAGTGGAAGAAGGGAAGGGGACCTCCGGAAAGGACCCCGAAATAAGCCTGCGACAGCTGGGCCCCGGGGTTTTGCTTTGAACCATCACTCTGCACCTAGCCACTCCACCTGCATCTTCATTTTGGTTCCCACAGGTCGCAGGAGTCCCAGTGCAGGCGGCTCACCTCTCCTCTGTGGAGAAGACAAACTTCCGAAGCTTCAGGTCCCCCAGCACAATGGCCGACTGGTGGCAGTGGGCTACGGCGGACACGATCTGCTTGAAGAGCCGGGCGGCCTCCTCCTCCCGCAGCCTCTTGCGGCTTCGCACGTAGGAGTGCATGTCCCCAAAGTCCCTCTCAAAGAAAACGTAGGCCTTGGTTTCCCCAAGGATCACCTCCACGACGCCAGTGATATTCCGGTGTGATGGCAGCTGGATGTAGGGCCTAATTTTGTCCTGGTAGTGTTTAATGGGAAACACCTGCAGAGAGACGGCGACCCATTTAGGGCTAAAAAGGCAGAGCTATGCCCCACAGGCTAGCCTGGCCGGCCAGCAGTTCTCTGCCCTTGGGCTTTGTACGCTGTCAGGCTGCATCCATCCGCCTGATGTTCCCACTGTCTGCAGCGTGGCAGGCCCGAACACCCCCAACCTGCAACACCCATGGCTCTGAGCTCCCAAATATCCAAGGGATTACCCTGTGAAGGAGTGGCCTTAAAGAGCTGCTGCCAATATGTTTGCCCATCTTCCCGGAGAGAGCCAGCTCCTGAGAGCTGAGCCCCAGAGCCCCTTGTCACCGTGGCCATTCCTTATTAGAAAGGTCAAGAGGCCAAAGGAAGGTCCTGTCCCCACCCCGGGATCTCCAGAGCTGACAGCGGTCCCTGGAAATGTATGACTCCCTGCAGGTCCAAAGCATCCCTTAGCAGAGACAGCACAGAAGGTGGTGATTCTGAAGCAGGGGCAGGAGAACATGCAGATCTGTCATTAGTCAGAAGGAACAGATGACTCGGAGACTGACAAAGCAGCCTTAAGCAACCTGCCTACAGTCTGACTCAGGTAGCAGCAGCCCTGGGTTAAAATTCTCCCAGGAGGGATACAGGGTCTGAGCCCTGATTTTTCACCTGTTTGTTTATCTCCCCCCCCGCCCCAACTCCCACCCCACCCCCAGGAAATGGGTAGTATCTCCTCTAAGAAGCTGGCTAGTCTCTTGAAGGGCCTTTTGTTTAGTCCGGTTACTCATATCCTACCCTCAGCTGGAAACGGTGACACACGGGCTGTCACCATCTGGATTCAGCTATTATCTGTTCGGAGGAACTGGAAGGGGTTGCACAATGGCCAGACCCACCCCACCTCTGAGGCCTGGCTGCCCCGGCACCAGCTAGAAAAACCTCTCTGCTGCCCCCCTCCTCACACCCCATCACAACGCACACAGACTTCCCAGAACAGATCCTAGCCCCAGCGAAGCTTCCCGCCCCACCACCCTGTAAACTGGGTTCCAGCGTGCATTAAACCGGCCAGTAGGTGGCAGCAGCGAGAACGGGGTGGGGGGGGAGAGGGGGTGCTGTCAGGTGAGTTGCAGAAAACCAAGAGCCCAGACGCCTTGGGGGGCAGGGGGGTTGACCCTCTATCTGGGGTGAACAGGAGCAGCCAGGAGGGCTCTCGGGGATGTCCGAAAGGGGAGTGTCAGGTTGGCAAGGGTGTACTGCGGGGCAGCGCTCCGCGTCTCAGCGCTGGGGGAGCACGCGGCGGATCCAGTTTGCAGGAGTTGTCTCCGCCTGGATGGAATCCCGTAAGTTTAACAGAAAATCGCAACCGGAAAATAAAGATATGAATGGAAACGGGGACTCCCAGTCCCAACATTCCTACTCCGGGTAATCTCCCTCCCACCCGCCCCCGCTGCTCTCTGGGGAGGAAAAGAGTCCCCGTCTCAGCACCGGGACCGGCCGGAATCCCCAAGACCCCCAAGTCCGACAGGGTCCTCCCAGCCCCTCGCTACCCACAGCTGAGTCCCCGATGCCTTGAAACCCCGGCAGAGAGCTGCCAGGCTCCTAGGAGGCACCCAGTGCAGGCGTCCTCCCCGCAGGAGGGGGGGCCGATGAGAGAAGGGGAATGGCATGGCCCTGGAATCCATTTCAATTCCACAACTTATATGGAACGCCACGCGCTTAACTGGGCGCTGAGGAAATAGCGCGGCGATAAAGCAATTGAACAATGCACTCCCCTTAACCGCCGAGTCCCTCCTTAGGCCACGCCAAAGAAAACCCCTCAACCCCCCGAAGGGTGAACGTGGCCGAAGCCGCCTTTCTCGGTTCAATTCACTTATTCGCCCGGCCCCGGCCCAAGCGGTGGTGGCACCTGCGGTCCCCCGGCGCCGCCGCGCTGGACTCGGGACACGTTTCCAGCCGGCGAGCGCCCAGTCCCCGCCGCCCCGGCTCCCGGTGCCCGGACGCCTACCTTGCAGCGCAGCTCTCGACCCGTGTGGATGCACAGCGCCCGAGACACATGCTCGCGGTCGGCCAAGGGCAGCAGCAGGTAGTCGGCGATGCGGCAGGGCCCCGGTGCACTCCCAGATCCGCCGCCGACGCCTGGCGCGGCGGGAAGGGGCTGCGGGCTGCAGGGTGAGCCGGGGGGGCTGAGGTAGTCCGGGGGGTTCGAGCACTCAGAGAGGCGCGGGCATTTGGCCGCCACGGTCGCCGTGTCGTCCGAGTCGAGCAGGCGTTTGGCCGGGGCGCCCCGGGCCGCCGGG